TTCAGCGCGTGCTGATCCACACCGGACTTCCAAAGATTAAGTTGTTTGATACATTTCTTATATACCTTCTTCCCTGACCGGATCGCGTGAGAGCAGATCAAAGCAAGTTTTGATGGTTACCAGAACAACGGATGAGGAGCTGGTGATTTATTACAAAGAAGGAGTACGGTGACCTCAAGGCGGGCCAAGACCCTGAAGTTAGAGATACTCCTTAAACTTCCTAAAGAGGAAATACGCACTCCTCCATCCCTCTGCAAACCATCAAAGAATGTCCCAAATATTAACAAAGGCAACATAAATCATTCCCCCCTTTGTCTCTGTGACATGTTAAACAAAGTACAATCCCTAATATGTGAATAACACGTTGTATAAGTGTGTTTAAATAAGTATAATATAGGTCTAGATTGGCATAAAAGCATTAAAATAATAATTTCTATATCATTCCACCCTTGCTTTTATGGCAATTTTAGACATTTAATTCTGAATAAGTAACACACACAAAATATATATATGTTTGAATTGGCATAAGGGCAACTTCACACCTTATAAAACATATTTTTATATCAGGTACGCAAAGACTTTTGGGTCCAACCAGCAACCATGCAACTCCCTCAGGTACTCTTCCGATGGAAGGATGGAAAAGGAAGGAGGGGCCCATCCACGCCTGAAGAAGGCACTTCCAGGGGTGAACTCCTCTGGTTGTGGGACATCCAGATGCAGCTGTCTCAGGGCCATACACATGATGTCCTACATTGAGCCGTCACCTGACCCACTAGCTGTGCTCCGAAACGAAGAAAGTGAACCAGTCTCTGAGACTTGAGATGATTGCCCCTCCTCCTCACCTAAAAAGTGAGAGGCAGAGGCAGCCAAGGATAACGCATCCTCTTCCGCAGCTAGCTCAGGCATGGGTGGGGAGGAGAGTCCGGTTGCTTGCACTGGCTAAGCCCCCATTGGCGTGCCTGAAAAAGGGACTTCATCTCTACCAATTCTGCGGACAGCTGCTCCACTCTCGTGGAGAGGCCCTGATCAGACTTGGCTCACCTCTTCCTAGGAGGGGCCACAGTGACTGCGGCCTCAGACCGGTGCTTCGAGCGCCTAGGTGGAGCCTCCTGCCCAGAAGGTAGGAGGTCCTTCCAAGCTCGGGGCGAAACTGGGCCAGCCGAGCCACCCTCACAGCACGAGGCATAAAGCTGTAGTTCATGCGGGGTTCTCTGACAGGGCCTCCACCCGATGGTCATGTCCAAGGCAGGCAGGACACAGGCCGTGACCGTCATCTGCCTGGAGCACGGCCCCACAATTTATACAGCAGTGAGAGCCATCCATGCTCCTTACTTTAGGCAGTTTACTCAAGTCAATCAAGTAAAAAACTGCAACTCAGCAAAGGGGCTGGCACCTCCAGCTACGTCCAGGTTACAGGGCGTAAACAAGGACGAAAGGATAGGCTGAGAATTGGGAGAGGGGGCACACACGCTTGCCGTCACCAATTAACAAGGCAAAGAAACTCAGACAGGCTAACGCCACTAGCTCAGTCCAAATGTTTATGAGGTTGATGATTGGGAGAGGGGGCACAAACACTTGCTTTCACCAATTAAAACAAGGCCAGAACGAAGGGAGGCTAGTGCCGTTAGCTCGGTCCAACCGTGTATGAGGTTGGTGAAAATGATTGGGGAGAGGTTGCGCGAACGCTAGCCTTCACCAATGAAAACAAGGCCAGAACTTAGGGAGGCTAGTAAAGCTGGCTCAGTCCAACCGTCTATGAGGTTGGTGAAAATGACTGTGAGAGGGTGCGAGAATGCTTGCCTTCATCAATGAAAACAAGGCCAGAACGTAGGGAGGCTAGTACCACTATCTCAGTCCAACCATCTATGAGGTTGGTGAAAATGACTGGAGAGAGGGTGTGCTAATGCTAGCCTTCACAAAAGAAAATAAGGCCAGAACGTAGGGCGGCTAGTACTGCTAGCCGAGTCCAACCGTTTTTGAGGTTGGTGAAAATGACTGGGGAGAGGGTGCGCAAATGCTAGCCTTCACCAATGAAAACAAGGTCAGAAACTCAGCTGGCTACGTAATTAACAAACTTCGGACCACAGTCCAACCGACCACGCGGTTGGAGGCCTGCAACAAACAGGCGCAGAGCAAATACTATCACTAACCCGAAATATAAGTAAAAGCACTACTCACCAGTGTTGAATCGCGCACATAGTAGTCAGATGCTGCAAGTTGGGAGGGGGGCGGAAACCGGCGTAGACCCCAATGAACAACAGAAATACCTTTGAACAGGGTTAAACCGTCGCAGCCACTGGGAGGGCAAACACACTACTCCAGCCACCGGGCAGTCGGGCCTCCGACGACGGTGAAAAGTTCAAAAGTCCAAAAAGCTGAAGCCCTGTAGTGAAAAAAGGAGCAGAGCCGCGGTTGACGTCAGGCTATATAGCCTCTGATTAGTCATCTGTGTCACACCTGTGACTCCATTGGTATTACTACTTGAACAGCACATGCGCGAAGGGAACATTCACTGCTTTCAGCACTGCTCTCGGGCTCAGGATGGATGAAATAGAACTGTTGTTACAACCTCCAGTGTTCAAAGTAAATTTTAGAACATATGGTACAGATTGTGTTTTTTTCTTTAGCATTTTGGTGAATGTGTATGTTGTCAAGGCTCTGAAGAACGAGTGGAAACTGGATGGACCACTGGTGATGCTGCTGTTAGAGAGATCAGTGAAGAACATCAGGATTGCCCACCAACTTTACTGGTGAGTCCAACTACAACCTGGAAGAACACAAATTTGAAGTTTACACATAAATGGGGGAAATTCACTGATAAATTTAGGGGGAATGGTGGCACAGAGGCTAGAGAGGGTGGGCCTGTAATCAAAGGGTCAACCCCCGGCTCAACTCTCGGACCGACAACATCAAAATGTGGTGGAAAAGGTGAAAGACCCACACCTGCCTCCACTCTCATTTGTCCCAACCTGGGCCCCTGAGCAAGGCCTCCAACCCCCACCCCACCCCACCCCCAGCTGCTTCCGGGCACCTTGGATGGCAGCCCACCACCTCATATGTGTGCTCACATGTGCAATGGAAAAAATGCCGAGAATTAATTTCCCCAGTGGGGATTAATAAAGTACAATTAAAAATCTTATATAATTATATTTGTGTGCATGCTTTTTTTTCCCTCTCTGTGCTCCTGTGAAGACAGAAGTGTCTTCCTATGCTCCGTCCCCCCAGCTTTCCTGCTTTGCTCTCTTCCGTCTTCTGAATGCTTAAAGATACTTTTTTTTTCCTGCATACCTTCCTAATTCGAAGGATTTGATCAGCTGGTCTCTCAACAAAATTGATCAACTTCTCCCGAAAGGAGTCAGGGTAAGGAGGACCCACTTATCTCGACGGAAACAAATTGGATTCATGATGACAACTGGATTTTGCTGTTTGGGTTGGTGAAATCAGGATTGTCTCCAAATTTGTGTGGATGGGTCGAAGCTTGGCAGCACTCAGACTGAATTATGTGGAGCTGTGTCAGAGCTGAAGCAGGCTGTTATCAGGACTGTGAATTTTCTGGCAGCACCCATGAATGGTTGGGAATAATCTTAGAGAAAGCTGTGAGCTCAGCTTTCGGCGTAAGGAATCAATTCGGCTGTTTGGAGTCACCATCAGAGAAATGTACCAGCGAGACTTTAAAAGGCAGAAACCGCAATTTACGAGTTCTGTCTGACCCCAACTGTGGCCTTGACGGCGAGCTTATCTCAACTCCTCCTGGCATGTTTAGGAAAAACAAAGACACTTTGTCTGTCTCCTCACCCCTCCCTTTCCCAAGGCCGTGGATATGTGACGGAACCTGAACCGAGCTGATGATAAATAACACCTCTAATCTGGACAATGGCTGAAGGGGAATCTGGACTATGCTATGACATTCCCTTAAAACTCTGTCTTCACCAGCCTATATGTACATGTATCATGTCTATTTATGTACTTTGCTGTGGTAGTTTTTTTTTTTTTTATGCCTCAAATCGTGCCCTGTCTAGGACAAGGTGTGAGAGATTTTTTTTATTTTTTATACCGTCTCTCCTCGTGTTTTTCTTCCCTTTTCTCATCTAAGCAAAATATTATTCTGAGGAAGAATAAGAAGGCCGCGCTAATTAGCAGCAGCTTTGTGCACTACGTCCATCTTTCGGACGACTGTACGTACATGTTCTTCTTGTGTCTCGGTACAATGATAATAAAGCTTATTCTAATTATGATTCTGATGCTTTTGAAGCATTCACACTCTAGTTTTCCTGTTTCTCTTTATTTTATTTCAATAAAAGTTCATAAAACATAAACAACTGGACTTCTTTTCTGAAGCTGAAGACATTTTGCATAAATCATAATGTCAACATAAGTTAATATAATTGAACATTTCCAACATTTAACAAATCCACTGACCAATCGATCAGTTTTTACAAAGATTACATAATTCACACAAACCCTAGTTTCACTCGTCACATAAATAATGATACATTGTTTGATGTCTCCTATTTTGCCACTGGACCCACTGAAACAAAGCATTGAATGAATGAACCTATTTTCAATACAGTTGATGAAGTGGTTCAATTCATTGCTTCATTTGCATATCACAAATATTTTTATTATGACTTTAATAATGCCAGTTTTAAACTGAAAATAACATATAAAAGTTTAATAATTTAACTTTTAGATAATATTCTTGAGTTATGTAATTTTACCATTTAAAAAAAATGTAAATATTAATTAACAATAGTTCTTTGTTAATTTATTATTTAATTTATTTATTTAGCCATCCATCCATGATTATTTTTGACCCACTTCTTCCTGTTCTGGTTGTGAGGGGTCACTGGTGCCCATATCCTGCAGTCACTGTGTGAGAGGCAGGGAACACCCTGGACAGGTCTTCAGTCCATCACAGAGACACAGAGAGACAAACAAGCCAAAAATATTCACTCTCTCACTGACACTAGAGTGTGAGAGAGTTATCAATCAGCCTAACATGCATGTTCTTGATCTGTGGGAGAAAACCCACACATGCATGAATAGAACATACAAACTCCATCCAGAAAGGTCCCCAGCTAGGATTTGATCCAGCGACCTTCTTGCTGAGAGGCAGCAGCTCTACCATCTGTGCCACCGCGCTGCCCTACTTACTTATATAATTATTTAACTTTTTCCTTACACATGCTTCAGTCATAATTTGCATAATGTGAGCAGAGGTTTTAAGTTTGGGTGTCCTCAGTCTTCGGCCTTCACAGTCATGGTTCTGACTCTAAAGCAATCTAAACTCATCACCCTGTTTGCTGACACAAGAGTGCAGGCCTCACACTAAAAAAAGCTGAACCATGACTGTATGTCTTCTCAGAGAAGTAATAAATTAGAGGAATCGGTCCTTGCCTGCCAACCACAGAACCTGGGTTTGAATCTCCCCTCAGCCAGGTCAAACAAGTCGAAAAATGATTCACTTCAACAAAAAATATCTACATCCTAAAATATTATTATTGATTACATTTGTATTTAGTCTTCCACCATTTTAACTACCCTGATACTTCCTCCTATTACAGCCTTTTAAATTTCTAATTGTTTATGACAGGGCTATTCAACTAAACTGTTCAGGAGGCCACAGTTACTGAGACCCAGCAGCTCAGGGGCTGGACATCCATCAATTAAAGTAATTTTGTAAATAAACCAATGATCTGTTACCTTTTTAATTTGTTTATTTTGCTGCACTGAATTATAAATGCAATAAACAGAACCCAAATATGTAATAAAAAAAAATTACATGTAACCAGGTTAAGTTAGGTCCTCTGGATGGATTGATCCTGATGGATCAAAGAAACGACATTTCAAGTTTTATTTCCTTGCATTAAGATGAGTGATAGTGTAATGTGAAGCAATATTAAAAGCAAAAATGAAACATTTTGCCTCCTATTTCACACCAATATTATTCTGACATTTCTGATTTGCCACATCTTTATGCTTTTCAAAATAAAATATTTTTAGAAGGTATTATTATTATTATTATTATTATTATTTAAAAAGTATAATTAATTGAGATTATGCATGTGTGTATGTAGCGGTATCTATGTATTTAGGTAAGCATGGTGAGAGTCCAAGTTTTCATGTTGGTTCTCCTCTGTCCCTGAACGCCTCTGGCATGGTTTTGACAACGCAGCAAGTGAACAAAAGTGATGCTCATGCCTCACAAACAAAAACAAAAACAAAAAAACAACTACGACTGCATTCTTTCAGAATGAAAGCATAACATAGAGGTTGAGTGTGTGCCTGCAACCCAGCCAGACAACGTGGGTTCAAATCCCACCAGGTCAATCATTGAACGAGTTTGACAAATGTGCTTCAAAATGGCATATTAAAATGTATACATTAGTACGTCTCTTCTACTATTTTTGAACTACCCAGATTATTTCATCCCCCTGCCACCATTTAAATTTCTCTTGTGCAGCTTTTAGAAGCATATTGGTTTGAAATGCTTTTAGGCCTAAATTTCAGCTGTTTGAATATGTCAGGCAACGACATCACGCATTGCAATGCACACTTGTTTTTTGTTTTGTTTTTTTACAAAAAACAACTTTTTTCTAGTCTTATTAACCATTTATTAATCATTAAATCTACAAAACACACCACTGAACAGAACCAGGAGAAGAAGAGGCGGGAAAACATTGTCATCCCTTATGTTGCTGGAGTGTCTGAGAAACTCAGAAGGATTTTCTCCAAACACAACATCCCAGTACATTTAAAACCCAACAGGACTCTCACACAGAGGCTGGTCCACCCTAAGGACAAAACACCCATACACAAACTGAGTGGTGTAGTGTGTGCAGTCCAGTGCAGCGAGGAATCTCCAGATCTCTACATTGGAGAAACCAAACACCCTTCTCACAGACGCATGGCTCAACACAGGAGAGCCAGCTCTTCAGGACCAGACTCAGCTGTTCACCTACACCTCAGAGATAAGGGACACTCCTTTGAGGACCAGAATGTCTGCATTTTGGACCAAGAGGACAAATGGTTTGAAAGGGGAGTGAAGGAAGCCATCTATGTAAAAAGAGAGGAACCATCTTTAAACAGAGGAGGAGGTCTCAGATTTCAGCTTTCAAAAACTTACAATGCAGCTTTAGGTCCGATACCCAACCACTTTTACACATATCAAGAAATTCAACCATGTGACCAGAGTGGCTCCTCTGTGGGTGGGACTAACAAAGACCCTAACGATCCTCTATTATGAAGAGTGAGAGGTCAATCTGCATGTGTCAATCTGCATTATGCAAGCTTACAGAACACCTCTGCTTTATAAATTAAATCACCCACTCCTTGTTTCTTGGAATTGAGAAAGCTCCTCGAATGAGAAGCAAAACGTCTTCAGTTACAAATAAAGTCCAGTTGTTTTGTTTTTAACCTTTTGGGGGATTTACCATGTCCTGGATGACTGAGAGCCTTCTTCAGCGTTTTATCAACCATTCCATGCGTTTTTTCGGAACGTAACTAGTTCTACATTTTTTGTGCTATTTCAACAAATCATATATCAAAATGTTCAGCTCTTTTAGGACATATTGGATCTGACTGTTGATACTTCAGCAATTTACTTTTTGAACTATTTAGCTTTTTCAACCATTTTGTTCTATTCAATTCAATTCAGTTTATTTATATAGCGCCAAATCACAACAAAGTTCTAGTTGAAAATAAATAGTCATGCTCAGTTCTTTTAAAATGTAAACCTAGTGCTACTTCTGCCCTTTGTGCTAGCATTCTACCTTGTTTAAGATCATTCTACCCCGCTTATGCAAATTCTTCCCTGTTTTATAATAATTATTCTGTGTTTTTGCTACTTCTGTCCTGTTTTTGTTCTGTATCTGCCCTTATTGTTAGTTCTGTCCTGTTTTTGTTTGTTCAGCCTTGATTAGTCCCGGCTTATGTTAATTCTGCCATGTTAAAACATTCAGAGCAACACCAATAAGAAAAGATGTATTACCACTTTTAGAACAGTACAGTAGAACATGTAAAGACTTTTTGTATGTTTGATGAAAACCTACGTATCTCTACACTAAGTTGGACAGCAGGGAAGATATTTCCAATTTTTATTTAAAATTTACTTTTGCAGCACATCTATAGTAGAGTTTTCAGATTTGCAGATGGGTTTTTTCAGACCCCTGTGCTAATATAGTTTGTGTTTGAATAAAATGTTAGGCTGCTGGAAGACGCCCATCTTGATCCTCACTTCCATGGCTGGTTTCATAAAATTCAGGCCACCTTGATGCACTGCTGTGGCCAAGCACTGAAGAAGGAGCTGAAGCATGAAGCTCGTCTGGTGCAAGTGCTTGTGCAAGTGTCTGAAAAAGTCCGCTGTGCTGAAAAGTCTCGACGCAAGGTACATAAAAATATCCATTTTGTACATTACTCACTGACTTGTAGTCTTTTACTGTATGATTGGAAGTCTTGGAATATCTGTACTATTTTCATCCTTTGTACAGAATATTTTGAGCCAGGAGAGGTGGGCAATTCATGACTTTTTCAAAGGTGGAATTGGCTGTTCTCTACCTCTGGATGCTGCAGTCAGTGTGAAGGGAATAGACATTGAAGTAAGGGCCCCATACTGCATGCAACTCTTACATTCAACACTGTACATTACTGATACTGTTTGGTGGTGGTTACTGTTTGATATGTGACTTGCAGGCCTGTAAATTTTACAACTCCAACGCTGCTCCTCTGGGGGTCACGTTTATTGGTACAGACTCTCAGGCCAGGAATTTTGGTGTCATCTGCAAGGTGAGCAGCTACACAGAGCTTTTGTTTGGTTTTATAATGCAGGAGAAAGTTCTTCCAGCACTCAAAATTTGTCATTCAGACAGGAGATAACCTGCGCCAGGACATGCTGATTCTTCAGATTGTCCGTGTGATGGACATGGTGTGGCTCCAAGAGGGGCTGGACCTGCAGATGATCACCTACAGGTGTCTGTCTACAGGCGATACTCAAGGTAAGGCTGCTTTAACTAGAGAAACTGCATTTTCTATGAAAATGTGGTGTGGATGCTTATTGCTGAATGATTTGAAAGCTGCTGGAGAAATTTAAACTAAGCTAAAAAGGATTCATTGTTAATGCAAGTTGAATTTGAACAGCTGACAGTTGCTGGAAGTAGGAAAATAAAAATGGAAAGAAGTAGGAAAACAGCAGAAATGTGTATAAAAAGCAGAATAGAGCAGGAATTAGCAGAAGAAGCACACAAAGGCTGAATACAGAAAAGAAAAATCTGAATTTAGCAAAACAGAAACAAAAATTAGCAGAAAAAAACTGATATTAGCCACAAAAAAAAAGTAGCTGAAAAAGCTTAAAACTTCTGAAATTAGCAGAAAGAGGATAAAAGGAGCATAAAAAGTTGAAATTATTTGAAATAATGGCAAAAGGCAGAAAATAGCTCAATAAAACTCACAGAAGAAAAATGGATCTCAGTAGTGTGAATGCTTTATAAGCTTTATGTTGGTGAAAGATTCTGAGTCATCAGGTCAGAGTCAGAGATTCTTTATTGTCATTCACACCTCATGTGGTACATGTGGTGGAGCAAAATTATGTACACAAGGTCCCAGTTACATCCAACAATAAAATGTATAAGAAAAACTGTAATAACATCTAAGATATGAACTAAGAAAAACATCAACTAAATATACACTAAGCACTCATAACATAAAACATTGAACATCAGCACAAACATGAACATGAGTCTGTGAGCGGATGAGCACACATGAACACATCAACATTTAAACAGATCAGCAGCAACATGAAACAGATCAGCAGCAACATGATATGGTTTTTCACAGTGATTATTCTGGTTAGACATTCATGAGTCTAACAGCCTCAGGGTAGAAGCTGTTCCTCAGTCTAGTGGTTCTACACTTAATGCTCCTCAACCTCCTTCCTGAGGGGAATGGGGCAAAAAGTGTGTGTGCTGGGTGAGTGGGGTCCTTCATGATGCAGGTGGCCCTCTTCCTGCATCTAGAGGTGTAGATGTCTGTGAAGGTGGTGAGGCTGACTCCGACAGTCTTCTGTGCAGCCTTTATCCACTCTCTGCAAAGCTTTTCTTTCTGCAGCTGTGCAGCCTCCATGCCACACGTTGATGCTGGAGCACAGGATGCTCTCCACTGCACATCTGTAGAAGGAGGTAAGGACTGAGCTTCCCAGACCAGCTCGCCTCAGCCGTCTGAGGAAGTAGAGTCTCTGAGGAGCTTTCTTGATCAGGCTGGTGGTGTTGTTGCTCCAGCTGAGGTTGTCATTCATGTGTACACCCAAGTACTTGTAGCTGGAGACCACTTCCACCGCAGATCCTCTTATGTTCAGGGGGGTGTAGATGTTTTTGTTCCTTCTGAAGTCCACAGTCATCTCCTTTGTCTTCTTCACATTGATGTGAAGGTTATTCTCTTTGCACCAGCTCTCCAGGTGTTCCACCTCTTGCCTGTTTCTGGACTCATCATTGTTTGTGGTGCATCCCACCACCGCTGTATCATCTGCAAACTTTACAATGTGACAGCCTGGATGGGTAGCTGCACAATCATACGTGAGCAGAGTAAACAGGAGGGGGCTTAACACACATCCCTGAGGAGAGCCAGTGCTGAGGGTTATGGTGGAGGAGGAGAAGTTGTGGATCCTCACTAACTGTGGTCTGTTTGTTAAGAAGTCTAGTACCCAGTTGCAAATGGAGGGGCTTAGTCCTAGTGTTTGTTTGTCCATCAGAGTTTGGGGGATCATGGTGTTGAAGGCGGATGTGAAGTCCACAAAGAGCATACAGATGTAAGAGTTTTTCTGCTCCAGGTGGGTGAGAGCAGTGTGGACCACAGAGGAGATGGCCTCCTCTGTTGATCGGTTCTCACGGTATACATACTGATGAGGGTCCTCGTTGATGTTGATGGTTGTTTTGATGTGGGTCATGACCAGTTTTTTTAAGCATTTAGCAACTATCGGGGTGAGGGCCACTGGCCGATAGTCATTCAGACCAGTCACTGTAGAGCTTTTTGGGACTGGGATGATGGTGGCAGTCTTCAGGCAGGTGGGAACTGTCTCCAGGGTAAGTGAGGTGTTAAAGATGTCTGCCAGCACCTCGCAGAGCTGATCAGCACAATCTTTCAACACTTTTCCGGGGATGTTGTCTGGGCCAGTTGCTTTGTGTAGATTAATCCTCCTGAAGGTACTCCTTACTTCTGCTGAGGTCACGCTGAGATGCTCTTCATCCGGTAGTGAGGTGAGTCTGGTGCTGGGTGGTCAAACGGGTCTTCAAAGCGTGCATAGAACTTGTTGAGGGCATCAGGCAGAGATGGGTCTTTGGGGCATTGTTCATTCCTTCCTTTATAATCTGTTATGCACTTAATGTCCCTCCACATGCTTCGAGGGTCTTGTGAGATGAATTGACCCTCGATCCTCTTTGCATATGTGGCCTTGGCCCTCTTAATACCAGCAACCAGCCCTTTTCTTGTCCTACTCAGCCCCTCTGAGTTTCCAGACCTGAAGGCAGTGTTCCTGGCTTCCAGCAGGGTACGCACCTCTGCATTCAGCCAAGGTTTTCTGTTTGGGTAGCTTTCAGGTCATGGACCAGTACAAAAAAAAGTTTTAAAAAAAAAAGGACTTCTATTCTGAAGCTGAAGACGTTTTGCTTCCATCGGAAGATTTTATCAGTTCTAAAATGTCTGGCGTGCGTGGACTTTCAGGCTTTATGAGAGGCCTCTGTTTCTCTGTCTGTCTGTGTTTGTCTGTCTGTCTGTGTTTGTCTGTCTGTCTGTGTGTCTCTCTGTCTGTCTGTCTCTCTCTCTGTATGTCTGTCTGTCATATGAAATGCAGCAGGTAATATGTTTTCTCTCCTACAACATTAATTATCTATGCTTGCTTATATTGTGTTGTGGTTGCCAGGCTTGGTGGAAATCGTGCCAGAGTCTGTGACCCTGGGCAAGATTCATCAGGAGTTTGGCCTGAGTGGGACACTTCGAGAAGACACGCTGGAGAAATGGTTCCACGAGAGGAACAAAACTAAGGAGCAGTACGAAAAGGTTGAATCTTCATTTAACCCTACATTTAACTATCGCATGCTTTTACTTCATTGTTTGTGTGTGTGTGGGTGTGTGTGCGTGTGCGTGTGTGTAGGCTGTGATGAACTTCATCCACTCGTGTGCAGGGTGGTGTGTAGCCACCTTCATCCTGGGGATCTGTGACCGCCACAACGACAACATCATGTTGAAACAAACTGGACACATGTTCCACATCGACTTTGGTAAGATCATGGGCAACGCGCAGATGTTTGCAGGCTTCAAAAGGTAAGACGATAACAGACAACTTTGCTGTGAGGTCATGTGGAGCTCCGAGCGAGACAGAGCAGTAACCTTCTCCGACTCAATAACAGGGACCGACCACCTTTTGTTTTCACATCTGAGATGAAGCACTTCATCACAGGCGGGGGGAAGAAGCCTCAACGTTTGCATCGCTTTGTGGAGCTCTGCTGTGAAGCTTATAACATCATCAGAAGGCGCTCTGCTCTGATACTCAGCCTGCTGGAGCTGGTAGGGCGTCTTTTTTAAACAAGCGTACAGTTCCATTCCACCCATAGAACATATTTACATTAATCGTGTGGATTTCTAGATGCTTTGTGCAGGAATGCCAGAACTGAAGGACTCTAATGATCTGCAGTACGTCCAAAACAACCTCAGACCTCTTGACACAGACCTGGAAGCCACTTCCTACTTTACAAAGTAACTTAATTCTTTGCATCGTCTTAATAAATACCTGTTTTTATTTTTTTGAAGTTGTACTGAATGAATTTCCCTGACTTTTTACAATGGGATTTACTGATGAGGTTATGAACATTTAATATATATATATAACTTTTTGAAGAACTTCAGTTTGGAGAAATAAAAGTTTAATTCTGACCAGATTCATAGCCTTTTCATGGCATCCCACTCCAAAACATACGAACTATCACTTGAATGTGACTTTTATGTTGTCCCTGTTGTAGGAAAATCAAGGAGAGCATGGGCTGTGTTGCAGTCAAGTTTAATTTTTTCGCTCACTCTATGGCTCAAGGGAAGAAACAAGAGTCGCAAGCGCCAGACATCAACCCTGCTGCGAGCACCAACATCCAGAAGGCTGTCATTCAGACCTACTCTGGCAAGGGGAAAGATGTGGTGAGGCTGCATGTTGCTTTCTGGTGCCGCACAAGATACACCACAGAGCTTTGTGTTAGATCTTGGTAACCCAGGGAGCTGATAACACACCTGCAGCAGGTTCACACATTTCTGGTCTGACAGGAATAATCCATAACCCTCAGCTGATATTGATGTGTGTTTACTGTTACTCATGACCTCATAAGAAACAAAGCTGTGTTTGGAAAGTCTAAAGAGTCTCTCCCCAGAGTTGAGAAGTGTGTTCAAGATGCTTGCTGGTGCCTCATAGTCTTTGATCAATGGAGATTTCCTGATGATGGGATTGGAGTCACAGTTGAGTACAGAGAGTTGTCAAAAGGACTGAAGTTCATGTGAAGTTTCAGTGATTTAACTGAGACTTCATTGGTTAACCCTGTAATACTGTCACCATGTCTGAATGCTCCTACAATTCAATTCAATTTATTTATATAGCACCAAATCACAACAAAGTTGTTTCAGGGCACTGAACAGAAACATTCACATACATACACAAGCCAGTTAGTAAAGTTGTCTATCTAAAGAAGTCAGCAGACTCAAATCTTCACTTCGTCGCAGTCTCCCATCCTGAGCAAGCACAAAGAAGACAGTGGAAAGGAAAAACTCGCTGTTAACAGGAAGAAACCTCCCACAGAACCAGGCTCAGGACGAGCGTCTGCTTCGACCGGCTGGGTTTGAGAGGACAGGAAGGAAAAACAAACACGGAATGGCAGGTCCAGATGTAGGTCCAGATGTAGGTCCAGATGTATCCCCTATTGGAAGAAAGACAAAAACACATGTCAAGGTTAGAAACAAAATACAAATACAAACAGGTAGAAAAGAGTAAGTAAAGACAGTAGCAGAGTGAGGAAATGTGCTCAGTTTGTCCTCCAGCAGTCTAAACCTATAGCAGCATAACTAAGGGATAGCTAAGGAAACCCAAGCCAACCCTAACTATTGGATTTATCAAAAAGGAAAAACTTAACCCCAGTCTTAAAACCGGACAATGTGTCAGCCTCACAGGCAGAAACTGGAAGTTCCACAAGAGAGGAGCCTGTTAACTGAAAGATCTTCCTCCCATTCAGCTTTTGGAAACTCTAGGAACCACAAGTAAGCCTGCAGTCTGAGAGCGAAGTGCTCTGTTAGGAAAATATGGAACAATAAGATCTCAAATATAACATGGAGCTAGGTTGTTGAGAGCTTTGTAGGTTAGAAGTAATGAATTATATTCTGTGTTTGAAGTGCTCTGTTAGGAAAACATGGAGCAGGAATTCCAGGAATATGGAATATTCTACACAGACCTATGAATGAGTTCTCATGTAATGTTGAATGTTTGTGATCTGCAGACCTATCAGCTGGTGATAACCATTGATGATGGTGAGTTAACCACTGATTTGACGTTTGGGCAGTTTGAACTGATTCACAAGAAGCTGCAGAAAATCTTTAACAAGCTGCCACAGTGAGTGAAAAAATGTGCTCACGTTACATTCTATGTTTTTTCTTACTACAGTTGATATTATTTTGTCACTGCTTGTGTTATTTTTTTAAACCATTTTGATCAAGTACAGCCTGTCTCTTGTGCAGGTTTCCTGGCTGGTATCAGATGTCATTCACCCCAGAACAAAGAAAGTACCATCTGAATAAATACCTTAAAGAGCTTTTTGAGGGACCTTGCAAAGGAGTGAGTTTCTGATATCAGTTGTTGATTTTTAAATTTTTTTACAAAACCTTCACAGTTTCTTTAAAATGTATCGCTGTATTACCTGCAGGATGAATATGTGTGCAGCTTGTTTCTGGATGGCCCCAAAATGAACGAGTCTGTGGACACAGGTTTGTTTCCTGTCTTTAGTAAAGTCCAACATGAGTTATTCACTGGAAACATAATGGTGTCCCGTTCTGATGCTGGTGTCATCACATGTTGCAGGGGTCGTTCCTCAAATCCAGCTGCACATCTCGTATTCTAACTGCAAACTCTCTGTGCTGATAAAACACCTGAGGAACATAGTAAGTTCTCCTCTGTCTTACATTCATGATTTGAGATTTTAATTAAAAAAATAAAAATCACATGTATGTAGCGCCTGTACCACGTAGCTAAAGGGTTAATCAACAGGTTAGATTGAAATGTACTACACTGGTCGAGGCCCTGGGAACATTATTTAAAGATAGCCATACCAACAGTTTACAGCAGATACAACTTACTGTTTATATTTCATTTAATGGCGGTGCCTCCGCTTAGCAGGAAAATATGACTACACTTTAACCCACTAAGAATTTAATTTGATTCACATATAAAATAAAAAATAAAAAAAACTTTTCAAACATAAAACTCAACCCCCAAATAACCCGTGGCAGGCCTGAATCGATGCTTGGGTTCGTGGGAGCTAAAAACAAACAGCTTGTTCGCTCACTGAGCAAATAAAATAAAAAGCATGTGCATTGGTTGAGTTTTGTACTCACAACTCCTTCAAAGTTTGAGATTTGGATCGGGAAAAGGTAGATGTGGAGATCCCTTTAATATGGCACTGAGTAAGTAGACAGGTGATGTCACATGAACACCGAGGTCCTTCCTGGCAGCAACTTCACAGATGAGAATCCACTGGCTGAATGGGGAACTTCTAACTCATCCAGCAGGTCCAAAGATTAGCTCCTGGTCCACTGTACACATTAACAGCTCTCAGTCCATATTCCTTAGTAAAACACCCTGGCTTCTATTAAGAGTTTAAACGTCCACTAATGTTAGCATTTACATTTCAGTATACAATAACCTGAGCTGCTACATCGCGCTAGCATGCTAGTTGCATTTAGCATGGTTCTCATCTACGCACTACATCATTCTGAAACAGCATAAAATATACAGACAAAAGTATTTGCCTTTCATATGCTTCTTAAAGTCCGCTACAGTCAGCAACTCTGTGTTAACCGCTGTAATGGACAGCTTTACTCTGTTACTGTCCCACGTCTGCGTCGCTGTGCTCTCTGAACTCATCTGATTTTCCCACAGACTCACTTTTCATGCAGCGTACCATTAATCCCGCCCACTCCCATCTGACGGGGCAAAATAAAATGCTTAATCCAATACAAAACAAAGACTGAACAAGATTGACACTTAGCACAACTCAAAGAGTAGATTGTAATTCTTCCATGTGGCATGTACCCCTTAAACAAACTTTTATGTAACATTCAAGGGACGTAGTAAAAATGACAACTGCCTGTTTTAGTCTGCTTGAACTAGATTTTCTTGACCAAATATGAACAGTTTTTTAAATAATACATTTTTAAAATGACAAAAGTGTTTATCTTTCATATTTATTCCACTTTTATCACTTAGACTTTTTTGTTTGTTTGTTTTGTTTTGTTTGTTGTTGTTTTTTTCTTGGGGGGTGGGGGGGGGTGTTACTCAAATGATATCATTATGAACCCAGTCCAATACCCTAGTTTGTACTATATAGCACAGTTCAAGCTGGGCTATATGTAAATATGTTCATTGGGGGGGTGTTTTCTGTTTTCAACAGAAGCTGTCCAATGGCTCTAACCCTGATCCCTATGTGATCACGCGTCTAAGACCGGACCCTCTCCAGAACTCTAAGAGGAAGACAAAAGTGGTACGCAACAACGACAACCCCATCTTCAACGAGCTGGTAAACCTTCTGATTTACTTTCTATGAATTAGCACAGCAAAGGAATACTATTTGGTGTAAAAGTTATAGTAATTGTTATCTTTATTGTTGTAGATAACTTCTTGAATGGTTTGGAGAAAGAGAGTTTACGTCAGACAGGACAGATGAGCTAACAGACAGTTCGAATGATGCTAAGACCAAAACAGCCTGCTGCCATCTTAAAATGACTAAAATATAAAAATGCACTCTCCAAATTTCATCATCTACGTTTAGCTTAATACCTGAACAATTTGACTTGAAACAGAAAGACACACGCTAGATCAGTTCTGTATGTTTATGTCATCTTAAGATGACGAGGTGCCACTCTGACTTTTATAAATCCACTTCATGATGTTCCTGTGTGGCTGCTGTCTTCAGGTGGTCTTTAAAAGCTGAACCAGAAGTTCCTGACTTACTTTTACCTCATTTGGCTTCATTTTAATCTCTGACAAAGTCAAATGAATCAAAAACTCTTTTGTACAGTTTTGACTAAACTTTTAGACCTAAAATGAGCTACTAATGAAAGACACATGGTCTTTCTTTTCATTGTTATGCTGATGATTGTCAGATTTATCTGCCCTTAAAACCCAACAGTTCTTGCTCCATTCATCCTCTGTTAAAATGTCTTGATGACATCCAGGCATGGATGGCTTCATTTTTTTTAAAGTTTCAATGATCAGAAGACTGAAGTCCTTGTGTTTAGCTCTGTCTCTGCTGCTGTCTCTGATCCTGTAAACCTTGATCCATTGAGCCGTATCTAAAGCAGTCTGTTATGAATCTCAGGATGGTTTTAGACTCTGACTTTAAGTTTAATAAACAGATTAACTCTGGTCTGCAGAAAAGCTTCTTCCATCCCATCCATCCATTATCTTTACCCGCTTTTTCCATTTTGGGTCACGGGGGTCGCTGGTGCCCATGTCCAGCGATCACTGTGCGAGGGGCGGGGTACACCCTGGACGGGTCGCAAGTCCATCACAGGGCCACATAGAGACAAACGAGACAAACAACCATTCACTCTCTCACTCACACCTAGGGGCAATTTAGAGTTACCAATCAGCCTAACATGCATGTTTTTGGTCTGTGGGAGGAAACCGGAGCACCCGGAGAAAACCCACGCATGCACGGAGAGAACATGCAAACTCCACCCAGAAGGCCCCTGGACCGGGGTTTGAACCAGGGACCTGCTCGCTGAGAGGCAGCAGCTCTACCAGTTGTGCCACCGTGCTGCCCTGTTAACCAGATCTGACCCTGAAAAACTAGTCCATGCCTTTATCACAACACGGCTGAACTACTGTAACGCTCTCTATGTTGGGGTCAGTCAGTCCCTTTCACGTCTCCAGCTCGTCCAAAATGCTGCAGCTCAGCTGTTAACAGGAACTTGTAGGTTTCATCATATTTCACCAGTTTTGTCCTCCCTTCACTGGCTCCCTGTGCATATAATAATTGATTTTAAAACTCTCCTGTTGACCTTAAAGTGCATAAATGACCTTGCACCCTCATACCTCTCTGATCTACTTCAACCTGATGTTCCTCCTCAGGCTCTGAGATCATCTGATCAGCTGCTTTTGGTTGTACCAAAACCCAGGCTGAAGCTCAGAGGAGATCAGGTCCTAAACTTTGGAAGATCTGCCCCCAACATTAGACAGACCACCTCACTTCCTGTGTTTAAATTTCTGCTAAAAACTCCTCTGCTTTCACTGACGTTTAACACAGTGTGATTTGATTTAGTATTTTATTGTTTCTCATTGTTTTTGTGTTTTAACATTTTTGACTCTTTTAATTACATCTTGTTTTTGTTTTTTTTATTGCTGCTTTGATCTCACTTTGGTAACAGCTGCTGTTTTAAATGTGCTTTATAAATAAATTTTGACTCGACTAAAATTTCCCGAACTGCTCCTGATGTACGGTTTGTTTGCTAGCTGAAGTCTCCGCCTCGTTTTCACAGCTGGAGTACAAAAATATCCCACTGTTGCACGGGATGGTGCTGGAGGTGACGGTGAAGAGCAAAAAGGGCAAGAAGACGTTTGTTGGAGCGACCCACATTAAACTGGAGGACGAACTGCTGGACAAAGAGAGCTGGTTTCCTCTGGGAAACTGTGTAATCTGACACTGGGAACATCACTGGAGGCCAGCTGCCAGCAGGGGGAGGCAACACACTGAGGGAACAGCCTCCTAAAGTTGTTTTCTTTCTTGTTTTTTTATCAAACCTAAAAGGAGACAAATACAAGACTTTGCACACAGAACAATGCAAACAATTTAAAGCCGCTTGTAACTCAACCTCACTGCAGAGTTGTGTTTGAAGCAGTTTATGAAGTCCGGATATGTTTACTGTGAAATTATTCATGTTTATCATGTTTCTATTAAAATGTTAATCAAATGTTTCCTGGTGGTTGATAAAGGAAAGGCTCGTCACGCTCGCACCTTCATTTGTAGTCTACTTTTGTCTCACTTCACCGTGAGTGCTTACATCCACCGTGTGGCCGTGGCTGTGGAGCTGCCTGCTCAGACGTGTTTGTCCTTTCAGGCTGCGTCCACTGGATGTCCTTGACCAGGAAAAATGGGAGAAGAGGGTGAGGAAAAGGGGTGAGGAGAGTGTGTGAGCGGGATGACAACTCAGCATCTCAGGCCTGAGGGGGTTGAGTTAACACCCTCCCTCCATCCTCTGTCTTATCCATCAGTGGCATTCAAACACAGCTGGGCACGTGCACACACACACACACACACACACACACACACTCTCTGGCTGTTTCTGGGCCAAGGCAGGTCTTCATGTTATCTTAATGCCATCGCCTCTTGACAGGCCCGCTGACCCACACTCTTCTTTTCCTAATTTAAAGGGTTTAGTCAGGAACAAAGAAATAGACTTCTCTGCACTGGAGTCACTTCATTAATGTATTTCTTTTTGGAAGCTATTTATAATCTTCTCTGATGTGTTTTATTTGAAGGGAAATGGAACAGGAAGTGAATGCTGCTCGCTCCTTTTTGATCTTTGTCTTCACGGAATATTACTGAAATCCTGTTGTTTTAAAAGTTATGATGAAACAAAAATTTATTTTGAAGTAATTGTTTAATATCTCATGTGTTGCTAACTTTTATGTAATAATTGCTTTTTTACAAAGCATAAAAGTTTACTTTATAATGCCACTTTAGAGATACAAGCAAGGGGGAAAAATCATTTTTCAGTCCTGCTGGGAGCTCCTGCTCTTTTCTTCTGTAGCTCCTAAAAAGACATTTCTGTAATTTTATTTTACAATAAATCATATTTATAACTGGAGAAATGGTGCTTTATAATTTATTTATTCACATTTCTCTGCTGCTGCATCAGCCACGCTGCTTTATGTTTTGGAAACGTGTTTGTGTGAGAGCGAGCGTCTGATATGAAGAGCTGTTTTTAGGAATACCAAACGTAGACGAAGAGGGAGGCTGGATCCAGACTGCATCCGTCTCGGGCCCGCAGAGGCACCCACAGGTAGCCTGGAAGTGGAGCAGAGAAGGAGGTGTTAAAACATGCGTTTGTATTGCTGCGACATACGTGAGTATCATTTTTCTATAAATATTCCTCAGAGCACAGAGGAACCTTCAGTAATGCTGACACTGAACGCTGGGAGAACTCGATGATGGAGCACAGTGTGATCTGATATAATCTGTCCACACTCAAAATGTTGACCCCTCCTGCCTCGTGGCTCACCTTTCTTCAAGCTGGTGAAGGGCAGCGTGTACTGGCCCACAAACTCGCTGTTGCAAAGGCCGGTCTGATCTTGCACACAGAACCGGACGAGGCAGAGCTCGGGGACGTGGAGGCTGAAGTTCATGTTGGCGTCCCAGTGAGGACTCAAAGCTGTGGCAGAGAAACACAGAGATATTATTCTGGATTTACCCGTTACTTGTCTTACCAAGATTAAATGTTGATTTCACAATAGTTAAGCAAAACCAGTAGCTTTGGCTGTTATCAGGCCATTAAATGGACGTTATTAGTTAAAACAAACGAACAAAAAAGGTTAAATCATTTCATCTGGACCAGTTTCTTTAAGGGAGAAATGTTTCGTCTTCCATCCAGAAGACTACATCAGTCTGCAACCTGCCAACCAGATCTGTCCCATAAGTAGCCTTCATTGCTGTGTTTCAAGCCAACCTCCTGTTGGAATCTCAGATGTAGGCTTTTTATCATGCAAAAGGACCCATCTGTCCAAAACAATCATTCATCGTGTACAACAATCAAATGTTTTAGGCCACATGCCCGACTTGCTACTCACAGAAACAGCCTGAGGACACCAAGGCCAAAATGGTTCAGAAAAAATGGTTTATAGACTCAATCATCCAGGTAGATAACAACAGCAAAATTAATAAATTAGTTATCATCCCCATTGGTAGCGTTCAGACTGTCCCTCCTCTACCTCCTAGTAGGTTTAAAGTTACGTTTTTATGGGTGATAATATGCATCGCAGCTCGCGTGTAAAACTGGAAGTGTTAGTTTATTTAACCCTTTTCCTAAACCTGACCCAGACCATCCATCCATCCATCCATTATCTTTATCCGCTTATTCCATTTTGGGTCACGGGGGTCGCCGGTGCCCATGTCCAGCAATCACTGTGCGAGGGGCGGGGTACACCCTGGACGGGTCGCAAGTCCATCACAGGGCCCTGACCCAGACCACTGACCCTAAACTTAACCCCCTTACCCTTGACCCTTAACCTGACCATGTGCTCGTATTATCAGCTATAAGAATGTACCTTTAAAACCTACTAGGAGGTAGAGGAGGGACAGTCTGAACGCTACGTATGGCGATGATAACAACTAATAACGGCCATTTAATGGATGATATCATCCGAAGCAGGTGGCAAAACAGCATCAACTCATTCAACTTGCAGACAGGACGGTCATAGTTGAAACTAAACCTACATTAAGGCAGACAGGACGGATTTATTTGCAGGCACTTGTTTGGCAAAGATGTTGACATGTTGAGGGCTCTGTGGTTATGCATGTGAGAACATCGTGAGTTTTGTTTAACTCCAACGTTCTCTTTAGAGGCCTGGCAATCCTTGAAGTAAGGCATTTAGCCCCGCCTCCTTTCAGACCAGTTTCCAACTAAAATCATCTTATTTTGAGAAATGACTTTGTCCCAACCTTAAAATTAATTTAATGTTTAACATCACAAGATCTCATACATTGTCAATGACTAAGTTAACATCTTTGACCAAATATCTAAAAGTGACTGAGTTATTATAGATATTGTTATTTTGGTTAGGCTGTGCTGCTGACCCTCGTGAACTGGATTAACTCCAGAATGTTAGCAGCTGGACATGTACAGGCTATGACAAAAGTTTCATTAGAAACTGTCCAGTGGTTCATGAGATATTTTGTTAACAGAAAGACAGGGTTGATGTCATGTAATGCTGAAGTTTTATGCAAAGACTTGGTGCAGCATGTTATTGTGTTGGGGTGATTATGAGCTTCTACCACTGCCAAGTGTCTGATATAAGACTGGATCAAATCACTTGGCTGTGGTGGCCATCTTGAGTTGGATTAACTCCAAATGTTAATCAACTGTAGATGCACAGCCAGTGATTAATTAATAGCATAGTTAAAATATTATTGGGCGTATGTCATCTTTTGGCTGTGGGTAATGATAATTAGGAAAGTATGTAAGGGGCTTTGTGAGTGAGCCACCATGCCTGCTGATGTCTGTGTTCAGGTTTAATGCGCTGCTTTGACCATAAACAGACTCACAGATGTTGACTCTTAGTCTGGTTTACTGCTCTACTTTCAGCTGAGCTGACTAAAGCAGAGGTAAATCTGACTAAACAGAGCTGAGCCGGTCATGTTGTGCCTGGATGTGTCCCTACAAGTGCTTCACTTCGCAGTATTTACAATTGTTTCTGACTGTTTTAGTGTTTCTCCTGCAGGAGTCTGATGGAAGCCCATGAATCTCCACTCTGACAAAGGGGTCCAGAGCTTTACCAGTCCCGAGGAGGGGGAGATTGGATGCACTAATCACCTGTAGGGAGAAACACAGGAAGAAAAAGTCATTTTTTAATCATAGGTAAACATGAAATAATACTGCAAGTAGATCAGCAGCTGGGTAGGATGGAGAAGAAAGGTGGTGGTTATAACAGCCTGGGTAGAAGCTAACTTATCTGCAGTCCTCTCACTATGAGCCTTTCCCTCTGCAGCCCTGATCAAAGACAAAGCTGCATGCACTTATCACGACACACCTCACTTAGCAGAGATGGAGCTTTACAGTGTCTGGACAAAATTACTCTTCTTTTTCATCTTGCAAAGTCACGCTGTGAAACACTGCTCACGGTCACAGTGTGACCACATGCATGTGTTTAGATGGTGGTTTGGTGTAAGTGATGAGACAGAGCATTTGCAATGAAACAAAACAAATGGACGCATTTCGTGATAAAACAAAAGGGGCATTTTCCAGAATACATTTAGGGGGGTCAGCATGGAGGATGAGTCTGCAGTCATCAAATAATACAGAATCAAACCATTAAACAAAATGAAAAGCTGGACATTCCTTGAAGGGCTGCAAGTTGCCCACTGCCTTTCACGTTTCATGCCAGCGTTTTAACTAAGAAGCTGATAAAATACAGAGTTTAAAGCGTTTTAATGAAACTTAGTAAATGACAGCACGTACAGTTTCATGAAACGACTGGAGCTCTTGTGAGATCTGTCGACACTCAGAGTTGGTGTTGTAAATTAATCACAGCTACGTTGTCACCAAATTTTAGCTCAGTATCTTTGATATTGGCTGACTCTGCAATTATTGTGTTTTTTAATTCACTCGTCTGTGGCAGCTACCATAATTTCTGGACTATTGAGCGCAACCAAATATAAAGTATGCAATTTTGTACATACACTGCATTGCCAAAAGTATTCGTTCACCTGCCTTGACTCACATATGATCTTAAGTGACATCCCATTCCTAATCCATAAGGTTCAATATGACGTTGGTCCACCGTTTGCAGCTGGAACAGCTTCAACTCTTCTGGGAAGGCTGTCCACAAGATTAAGGAGTGTGCTGATGGGGATTTTTGACCATTCTTCCAGAAGCACATTTGTGAGGTCACATAATGATGTTGGACGAGAAGACCTGGCTCTCAGTCTCTGTGCTAATTCATCCCAAAGGTGTTCTATTGGTCAGGACTCTGTGCAGGCCAGTCAAGTTCATCCACACCAGACTCTGCCATCCATGTCTTTATGGACTTTGCTTTGTGCACTGGTGCAGTGATGTTGGAAGAGGAAGGGGCCAGCTCCAAACTGTTCCCACAAAGTTGGTAGCATGGAATTGTCCAAAATGTCTTGGTATGCTGAAACAGTCAAGAGTTCCTTTCATTGGAACTAAGGGGTCAAGCCCAGCTCCTAAAGAACAATCCCACATCATAATTCCCCCTCCACCAAACTTTACACTTGGCACAATGCAGTCAGACAAGTACTGTTCTCCTGGCAACCGCCAAACCCAGACTCGTCCATCAGATTGCCAGATGGAGAAGCACAATTCATCACTCCAGAGAACGTGCCTCCACTGCTCTAGAGTCCAGTGGAGGTGTTCTTTACACCACTGCATCCAACGCTTTGTGTTGCACTTGGTGATGTATGGCTTGGATGCAGCTGCTCGACCTTGGAAACCCATTCCATGAAGCTCTCTGTGCACTGTTCTTGAGCTAATCTGAAGGCCACATGAAGTTTGGAGCTCTGTAGTGATCGACACTGCAGAAAGTCGGCGACCTCTTCACACTATGTGCTTCAGCATCTGCTGACCCCGCTCCGTCAGTTTACATGGTCTACCACTTCATGGCTGAGTTGCTGTCATTCTTAAACAGAATATTTAGGAGCGAGGAAATTTCACGACTGGATTTGTTGCACAGGTGGCGTCCTATCAGTTCCACGCTGGATTTCACTGAGCTCCCGAGAGCGACCCATTCTTTCACAAATGTTTGTAAAAACAGTCTGCATGCCTAGCTGCTTCATTTTATACACCTGTGGCCGTGGAAGAGACTGGAACACCTGATTCTGATCATCTGGATGAGTGAGCAAATACTTTTGGCAGTGCAGTGTATATAGGCCGTGCTTGTCTATAAGCCTCGAGTGTCCACGTTGTAACATGAGACATTTTCACAAAAATATTTTTTTAAACTTTTAATTAAATACGTATCTGTAACAAATATAAATACCTATAATAAATGAGAGATTTTTTGCTAACAGACAAATAAACACAAATGCACTTTTGCTTTCAGCAGAGGGTGATAACAGGCAACAATTGCTTTTACCTTAAAACAGCTTCAGTTTCAAAAACTTCCTGCCACTTTATGTGAACACAATTTTATAAACCTGCTGTTCATAAAATTGTTTAAAACATATGACACTGCGGTTATTTTCACATTACATGATAATTCTGGTAGAAATATTAGATATTTGTGTCAGACGTGCCCCATGCAGCACAGGAAGTACTACAGCTGCTGCTGCTATTTAGACCTGCAACAATACAATTTTGAAGAGTAATAAGAAAGTGATGGTGAACTAATGGTTTAATAAAAGCATTCATGTGAACCGTGATAAAAATGAAGCTGTTGGACTAGTTAGTGCAAATAACCGATTCAGAAACCCATTCCATTTCTCTAAAAACATGCAGCTCAGAACCAGGTGAGATATTAAATGTTCATAATTTTTTCACAGAACTCCATTTCAAAGACCATTTTAAGCCTGGTGGGTCCCTGAACTACACTTTATGTTTATGATAATAGGCAAGAAGATAAAGGTATTTTATTTGTTTAGATTGTAGGAGGAGAAAACCTTTGTCAACAACAAATGAAAAGTCATTATAATAAAATAGAAGCAGAATTTCATTAATATATGGACATGCTAAATGGTCAGAATGTTTTGAAATAAATCTGTATTTTATCCATATATCCTCCGGAGAGGAGCTAATGTTTCTTAGAGCCACACAGAACAAATAAATCTTTGTGTTTCTGTTTCTTTCATATTTTTAAAATGAGACTACCTTTAAGATATTATACATTAGAGTGTTGCTATTACCATCTCCTAAAATGCTTAAAATAATGGTGTGTGATGATTTAATAATTGGACTCTGGGACTAATTACATTAAATCACCCGCATTCTTTTTTCCCTGTAATTTCTGAGGGAGATAATCTAATTAAACAGACACTCTTGGGGAGGTTTACATCATTGTTGGTTTACAGCATCCAGCAGGAGAGCAGCTATCTGGAGGCACTGAGTGAGATGAGCTCTGCTGCACAGAGCTCTAAATGTGAGACACACACACACAGTGTACAGATACGCCTGTAACATTACACCTTAATCCATAAATCCTCTACGGGTGTGGGGGTTGGATTATTTAGTGTTCAGTGCTGCACCTTCAGCAGCAGGTGAGTGAGTTTGGGGCGGCGCTGGCTGGAGCTTGGATCAAAGCCCCTCTCACTGGACATGAGCACAGCTGGCTTCAGGACGTATCCACAGCCCCCGTTGTCTTGGAAACGGCCGTCATTAAGGTCCATGGGCAAGCCCAGTGATTGGAAATTGAGCGCCACTGCAAAGTGATATGGGACAGTGTCAGAACAATGGAAACAAGGTGCCACAAAGCAACAAGATGAAAGAACTGAAAGTGCCTAAAGCTTGTTTCTATTAAAAAAGAAGAAAAAAAATTAACAGCATGAGATTTGAGACGCTCATACTCATTTTTACAGAAAAGAGATAAATTACAAAACAACTTGAAATGTTTGTGCAGCAAATGTTGCATCACATATGCATTCAGTGCCTGTGCAGTGGGGATTTCTGCTGTGCTAATCTGTCTTTGAGGACATTCACTGCAACAAATTTAGCACATGCAAGCAAACTGTCAATACAAAAGGAGCGGCAGATGTACTCATGCCAGAGTGTTTGTTTCGATTAGGAGATTTCAATGCTGTGCTGTGTGGAGTTCTGCTAATCTGACTGCAATTGATCTGTCTAAGCTGCTGCTTTGTTCTGCTGTCTCCAACAGTTGTGAAAAGCAGAGCTCTCCAGCTGCAGAGCTCCACTGCACGTACACAGGAGCTCAGCAGGGCTCCTTTCACACACAGCAGCCATCCCAGTGAATGGTGGAGGCTGATGAAATGGATGTGTAAAGACGAGGCAGAGTGACAGGAGCACAGGCCAAGACGATATAAATCAGAGGGTGTCATTCACACTGAGTGGCTGCAGTCACTTATGAGTTTAAATGAAAAGCAGAGATTTATTATTAACTGGTACCTAAACATCTCCTTTCTATCTAATCAAGATACTCGAAGCTCTTTACAACACAATGTGCGCCCTCATTTACCTCCACATACATTGTGGAACAGTTTACCTGAGAATTTAAAGAGCGCTCAGACTGTTGAGACTTTTAAATCTTTGCTCAAGACACTTCTGTATTCCTTGGAATTTCATCCACGCAGAGTCTGAGAACAAGTTGAGCTGATTTTATTGTTGTTATTTGTTGTTTTTATTGTCAACTTATGTTTTTGAGTGGCACTAGATGCATTTTTACTCTTTTTTAATTTTTTTAATCTGTCTTAACTGTAAAGCACTTTGGTCAGCTTTTGTTGTTTGTATGTGCTATATAAATAAATTGACATTGACATTGACAATGACATTAATACAGCACTCTACTACACACACATTCATACAGGACTTTACTGCACGCACATTCATACAGCACTCTACTACACACATTCATACAGCACTCTACTACACACACATTCATGCAACACTCTACTACACACACATTCAAACAACACTCCACTACACACATTCATACAGCACTCTACTACACACACATTCATACAGCACTTTACTACACACATTCATACAGCACTCTACTACACACACATTCATACAACACTCTACTACACACACATTCATACAACACTCTACAACACACACATTCAAACAACACTCTACTACA